GAAGGGAAAAAATATGAGAAGAGGAAAAAAATGGAAACAAAGTCTTTGAAAATAGGGAAGGGTGGAGGGGGTGAAGGGAGGGCAAGGGAAGGGGAAAAACAATAAGAACCAAGGGACTCATGTAATGGTACAAGATCTCAATGATGAATGTAACTGTATTTTATACCTAAAATGTACCAATAAAGTTAATGTGGAAAAAAAAATGATGTCATCAGAAGTAGACATTAAAATGAGGAAAGGTTTATGCAATAATGTGGGTTAACTGAAAAAAAAGCAGCCAACAAAGCTATAGAATAATATAATCTTTTCTTTTTTTGGTACCGGGGATCGAACTCAGCTGCTTGCGCTTTTGCAGCAGGTGGTAAAACCACTGAGCTAAATCCCCGGCACTGAATAATATAATCTTAATCATCCTTAATGTATTAGATGACTGAAGGGAAACCTACTGAAATGTTAAAGTCTACATTCAGGTAGCTGATTTTATGTGCTTCTATAGTTTATTTTTTGTCCTTTTTATAGCTTCCAAATTTCATGTTAATAGCCATGAATCAATTTTAATATTAAAAGTAATTTTAAAATTTGATAGGTTTTATATGTATATAACCATAACTATAAGTTGATACAGAAAACCAAAGGATAACAACCAATTTTATCTGTCCCTTATCTGAGATAAAAAGTGAGAAATATTTCAAAACTCAACTCTTTAATTCTTAAAGCCAATTTTCCATTAAAAAAAATGAGTTTTTAACTCAGAGCACACAGCACTAGACCTTCTTTCCCTAGGGTTGTGAATACAGAGAAAAGAAGGGCAGGGCGCTCACTCACGTCAGTCTGGAGATGCGCAGGTGCTTCTGAGTTGTCATTGATTCTCCGAACGCTGTCATAGTGCTCCCCGTACCGGTAGGCAATGTGTAGCTCCCGCACACTACTTTTGTCAGTACCTCGAATCTGCAGGCACAAGAGAGGAGACACTAAAGAGAGTCTGGCTGATGTCTACCTCTGGGTAGAAACACCTTCCTGGACTGCCAGGAACCCCGGTCGGCGGGCTCTACACAGACACTAAACAGGAATATGGCTGGGACACAGCATTACAATCTCGGAATTACCCTCCTCCCACCCTTGTATGCTTCAGCATGCTTTGATATGTAACAATATAGAAATAAATCATATGAAAACATTAAAAAAACAGAGGCAGGTTTACAATGACATTAAGTAAGCTTAAACTTCAGCTTAAATTCTACCCTATCCATCAACTTTCCATCAACTACATAGTGAAACATATTATCAGCAACAAAGTTACATCAATTTCAAAGTAAAATTATACACAGTAAAGCTGTACTACCACACTGCACAACCCCAGAAGCACCACTCCCAAGGTACTCCATGTAAACAGCACCCCTGGGTACAACATAACAACTGAGCTACGCAATACAGAAGCACTAAGGTCTGGTCTGGTCAGATCACCCAAAGCCTCCACTTCCACAAAAATCTAAAGTAATTCTGACTCTGTCTCTAAGAAAACCCAGTAACTGTCTCTTAAAACACCAAAACATTAACACCTCCTTCTTGTTTTCACTGAAAGTCACAAGCAGTCAAATATAAAATTAATTTAAACAATCTATGTGTGACAAAAGCACAGCAAAAACCATGGAACAAACAAACCACACAGATCCGAACATCAGAACTGTTGGAAGTCATTTCCAGAATGCCTAAAGGTCAAAGTACAGAGCCTAGTTTGGACACATATAATACAGGGATAGCACCATTTGTCTCCCAGCAAGAATACTAGGAAAGGAAACAATTTATTGGAATCTTTTAACCCCAAGTACTTACATACATTCTAATAATATATACATATTATGAATAGAAAAAAACAGCTAGAAGAGTATTTAACAAACTGTTAACTGTGATTTTCACAGGCAGATTACAGAGGACTCTGCCTTCCTGTGTTACACACACCTAGGCTGTTCACAGGATCACATATTCTATTTCTAACCAGGAAAAAAAATACAAGTTTCAGTATCCCCAAGTTGTGAGTATAGGCCTACCCATCAATAATTCAAGAGCTCTTACCCCTGACAGCACCAACAGTTTCAATTCTTAAAAATTTTACATGCTTCATGGGGGGGGGGGGGGCGCACACGGGGCAGAGTCAATAGAAATAAAACAAATTTATTTTAAAAATATACACTCTTATTGTTCAGCAATTTATTAACAAGAACACTATGGAAATAACTTTGAAAAAATTCTAACTAAGAAACTTTAAAAAGCATCAATGCAAGAAAAAGCAGACTATGGTTACTTAGTACTGAGAATCTTCCTTCAAGATTAAGCTCACTATACTATATATTCAAATGATTTTCACTTCTGCTGAGCAGTACTTTAGCAACAAAAACTTGGATCAAAGGGGTAACTCATATGGTGGGCTCACAGATCATCCTTAGAAAAAGAGCACCCCACTGAAAACCCGATAGCTATACCTGGTGTCAGGATATCTGGCAACATAGCCCTAAAGAACATAGAGATACTGTTTCTCTCCTGCTCATTTTATCCCTGTAAGGTGAAATTCCTCACCAACCCAGGAAGTATCTAATTTATTTTGTTTTAGTGAAATCTTGCTAAAAGGAGGTTATGCCAGACACAAAAGGCTGAATATTGCCATTGATATAACACTCTAGAAAAGCCAAACTATACAAAAGAGACAAATCAGACAGTGGCTACAAGAGGCTGAGATGGAGAGGGAATTAGTGACTACCAAGGGCATGTGATAACCCTGTGATAGTAGAATTATTCCTAAGTTGGCCATAGTTAAACATGACTGTTTTCCAAAACACAGAACCATGTATCTGAAAGGTGAATTTTCTATATGTAAATTATCTCTCTATATTCCTGACTTTTGTTTTTTTTTATAAGCACAAGCTATGACTAAGCAATTTCCAAAAGAGTATATGAAGGTAGCACATGAAAAAAAGGGCATTATTACCCTTATAATAATAAACATAGGTGTATGTAAGTCCACATACATATACATCAATCCTTAAATGTTAACACTAATCATTAGTCATTAAAATGGGGTTTCTGGGGGTTTTTTTGGTACTGGGGATGGAACTCGGGACCTTGCACTTGCAAGGCTGGCGCCGGAACCACTGAGCCAAATCCCCGGCCCATCGTTAAAATGTTAATAGCAATAATCTAGTGTAACTCTGGTGATTTTTACTTATCTTTATGAGCTTTTCTGAATTTTCAAATTTTTCTACAATTAACACATTTTAACTTTCTAATTAGGAAAAAGAAACAGGGCAGTAGTGGAGGGGTAATAGAGGTTACATGCTGAATCTTCAGGAGGTGAACTACAAAGTGACAGAGAAGTGTGAATTTGAGGAGGAAGAGAATAAGGAAGTAGGAGCCTATCCATACATCAGGCCAACATTTGATCTTCCACACTCCAGAATGTTTGGTTTGAGGATCTGTTTGAGACATGAGGTTAATTTAGGATAGACACCAAAGGTACAGAAAAAGTGAGAGTTGAATGAACAGCTACTTAAGCACGGGTTGGGGAGTGGTGACTCTATGTGGCTGCCATTTTACAGCACAAATGTTACATTTGTTGTAATTTTGTTTTCTGTAGAAGAACGAAAGAAATCTTATGTATAGCTGGGCAGAACATGACATCCTACAAATTGGATTGTTGCTGAGAACATACTTTTTAGCAACAATTACTATAATAAATTTAGTCTTTAGTCTAAAAATGCACAAAAATATACAGGAGAATGGGCATACTGCAAAACCAGAATTTGTATGCACTGATGCTTTAAATTCTCATTTTTATGGAATTATCTGAAGTATTTGCACATTAGGCTCTCTGACTCCAAATTACCCAATGAATTAATTAATAACATTTATAGCATTTAAAAGATTTCTAAATTATACTCTAGATTCCATTTGTACATAGCACAAAGATCAAGTCCAAGTCACCACAAGATCCTTGTCTTTGGTTAGGCTCATAGTCTAAATTATTCTGCATAGTTCAGTGTCACAGGTCAAGCCCCCATCATCTTAGGAGATCCCAAAAGCTAATTTATAGATAAATACTTGAATAGGTGACCTACCTGCCACAAAGGAGCATTAAGCTGATGAATCACCACATTCAACTGATGATTTCTTGCAAATGCTACAATTGCATCATTGCCAGCAAAAGTACCAGACTTTGCCAAACTGGCTACTGCATAAAAACAGGAGAGAAAAATAATATCTTTATAATGAAAAATCCAAATATAAGCATGCTTTAGTATTTCATTCCAAAAAAAGAGAAACAAGAATATCTGGTAAAGTCCGTAAGTCATTTAGGAATTTAACTGGTTAAACAATATGCAAATTGCTACTCAGAGGAGTAGCTAACCATTAAAGTAGAAATCGTTTATTCTTTCAATAAAGAAACATATTTACTGAATACTTCCAATGTGCCTAACTGAATAAGTCACTGAACATATAATACACACAGTAATCACATAGTTCACACTAATGAAAGCCTATTATGCAAACGTCAAGCACTGCTCTAATAATTTTTGACAGATTATCACTTCTAGTCCTCAAAATAACCTAGAGGTATTATTATGTATGCCACTTGACAGATGAGGAAACTGAGGCACAGAATAGTTAATAACTGTCCAAGGCCACAGAGCCTATACATGGCAAGCTGAAATTTCACCCAGGCAGCTTGACTCCAAAACCCTGGCTCTTGGCCACTCCATCATTTTGCTCTCAAAAGGTACCCAACCAGCAAGAGCAGACAACCAGAAGATGGGGACTAATGATGCGTAAATGCTTCTAGAAAGGCATGTGGAGTAGGGAACACGCCTTGTCCAAAGAAAGGTCTCGGGCTGGGGATTTAGCTCAGTGGTTCCGCACCTGCCTCACAAGCATAAGGACTCGCGTTCGATCCCTGGTCTCAAAAAAAAAAAAAAAAAAGAAAGGTCTGGCCTTTATCCCAGGCTCCCAAGAGGTAATCTCTAAACCTCTGGAAGTTCTAAAGGAAACAATGTCTCTGTTATTCGTGATGGACCAGGCCTCTAGACCTTTCCTTACAGCAACCATTTACCGCTCTCAGACAAGCAATCAATCAACAAAACAACAAACCAAAACTATGAAATTGAACTCTCTGATGTTAGAGTAATCTTTCCCAGCTAACTATACTGAGGAACTGCACACAGGAATACCAGGCAATAGTGCTTCCCTAAGATAATGGAAGCTTTGTATTTGGAACCTTGTCAAACCAACCTTTGCATCAAGAGGCAAAGGGGCCATCACACTGCACTGAGGGTACCTGGGGAAATAGAAAAGGAAGCCCAATTTTATGAGGTGGCTGCAGTGAGAGGAAAACAGACTGTGTCTTGGATTGGGCCCTACTCACTATCCTCAGTAGCTGCCTTGGTGGAAACGCTCCTTTGTTCTCATCTGGCCAAAGGGAAAACCAACTAGCTTGCCCTCTGATCTCTCTCTCTATCCATTCTTGACATGGCTTCCAGAGTCAGGGATCATAATACAGAAACAAATCTTTCTCTTTCCAGATAAGGACAGATGGGAGAGAACATAAATCTATCAGTCTCTGGCATGTGAGGGCCTCAGCAAGCATTTGTTGAAAGTTTAAAAGCTCATATATATTTTTAAAATAGATTTGTGCCTCCTGAATAGAAACTAATTAAAATCGTTAACTGACTTGCCTCAAAGTAAATCGGTTGTGATTGGGTTTTAGGTGACTTTATTAATTTCTCAAAGTGTAAAAATTATACACAATCATTTTAAAATAATAAAACAATCTACAGATAATTTAAAATATTCATAGGCCCATTATCCTTAACTTATTAAGAGTTTATTTTAATTTTGTCATTATTTAATCTTCACCAAAAAACTCTATGAGACAGATGCTTTTATTGTCTCCTTATTACAGAAATTTAAAGAGAGTAAGTTCTGACAAATAAGAGTAGCTGAGAAATAGCCATAAAATATTGGGGTATATACCCATTATTTTATAGTCTGTTTTTTTCACTTCATTGATAAAAAATAATAAACAGGGCTGGGGATTTAGCTAAGTGGTTCCGCCACCTGCCCCACAAGTGCAAGGTCGCAAGTTTGATCCCCAGTGCCCCCCAAAAAGGTAATTCAATTAATGCCTTTTGGGGGAGAGGGGCTAAGGATTACACCCAGGGCTCATGCACGCCAGCACTACCACTGACCTACACTCTCAGGCCCCAACACCATTAATTTTATTGAGTATGTACATCTAAATCTGCCTAGCCTGCCTCACCTATTGCTTTCCAACTGCCTAGCATTATTACCTACTACAGAGTATGTAAGTTCTCTGTTGAATACATGAATGCCACAATTTATATGATCAAACCCCTGGCAGGGAGGATGGGGCTGCCAATGGACTTAACTACCCAATGCATTACTCCTGAAGGATCCAGTGTCCCACGGGGAACCTACCATGCTTCTCAAAAGGAACATCATCTTCTACAAAGGGTTCAAAATCTTCCCGCTGCTTTATCATGTAGTCCACTGTCTCCTGTCTGTGCTTTAGATGATTCCTTGAGTGTCCCTCCAGTTGATCACCAAGAGCTCTGAATAGGCAATTGCTGTCAAAAGAAAAACGATGGTCAAGACCTTTCAAAAATGAGCTCAGTTCATCTAAAAAACAATGATGCTCCATGCCAGTCAACCCATGAAAATCTTTTATGCTCAGAAGAAGTAAAGTTTAAACTCTTAACATGCCAAGATTCTTCCCAAAGGCTAAGGGGAGAGCCCTAGGACTGATTCTCACATTATCTTCTTGAGAGGCAACAAAACAAGGATTCTAATCCCCACTTACCAGCTGGCTCAGGAAAATCATTTAACTTCCCTGGGCTTCAATAAGTGATGTTGATAACAGACCAACTGCCTGAATACAGGGTTCAGACCTTGTAAGCTATCCTGGGATAAGAACTGGGATTCTCAGATTCCCTTCCAAAATGATGTTAAATCTACCACCTCTTTTCTGAACCAAGTTTCCCAAGCTCAGCTAGGGAATTACTCATTTAACAAAGGGTACCCAAAAGATAGCAATTTGTCAGGCTCCCACTACAGACTGAATAGGAAACAGAGGACAAATGGTTACACTACAGAAAGACAATTTCCCCTCACCTCCTCACCTAATACCCAGGGAGCAACAATGCACTGTTGCTCCTGCAAACAAAAACTTTATAAACACCATATTTTGTTTTTCTAAAATTCAAATACTAGTAGTAAACTTCAAGAGTTATCTTTACTTTCAAATCCCTCAAAGGCTTCTAAAATTCCAAACTATACATCACAAACACAGACAGCCAGATACATGGAGACCGAAAAAGAAGACAAACACAATCTGGTCCCCTTACAGTGAAGGAAACAAACCATTCTGAAGCCAAATAGTTACCCAGTTTCACACTAAACTGTTAACTCTTCCAAAGGAAAAAAAATGATACTTTTAATTCCAAAATACAAATTCATTACTTTCAGAAGAATTTCAAACTTAAATGTGTAGGAGACAAATATCTTCTTTTCAACTCAGAAAAATAAGTTTTTAATAGAAAGTTACAGAAAGGCAAGAATCTCTTCTAATACATAAGGATGTATACTTTGGTGAGGAAGGGAGAATTTAAATAAGGGAGAGTCTAAATTAGAAACAAGAAGCCCTGCATCCATCTGGGACAAGATTCTAGAAGGAATCAGAATATACAGTTCTATAAACCAGACTGAGCTGTCATCTATTTCTAAAATCTAACAACAGCGATCTTTTTTCAACTACCAGGGGAAAACAGGCTAATGGATAAAATATTTTCAATATCAAGTCTTTCTCTCAAATTTTTCTTAATCCTTTAGCATCTGCCACAAGTCCATTCTTGAATCTAGTTTAAGAGATATGAGTTAGCACAAAATTACATATGTAGTTATTTTATGTTTAATACACCAAAATCCACAGTATTCTACAGAGAACAACATTTTTGTTAAGAACTTTCAGTACCATAGGCAAATGTTCTCCATATAAGCCCCAAAAGTACATATAAACTATCTACTGCATAAGCTCAAACATGATCATCTGTACACTACACAGTGAGAAACACACAGAGATGTACGCAAAGAGAAAACACTGAAACCACCACCTAGATAGCTCTCACAATATGCCAACCACTGCTGTGACTGCTTTACTAAATCTGCTTAGTCCTCACAACTCTATGAGACAGTCACTATTATTATTCCCCAAGGGCAACCTGTTGAAAGTCACAAAACTAGTAAGTGGCAGGGCTAGGATTCAAACCCAGGCAGCCTGGCTCTACCCCACACTCTTGCTCAAATGTGAACACCAGAATATTAGCAGTAGCTCTCCATAGGTAACAGGAGTGACTATTACATTTAATATACTTTTCACTCACCAAACTTTCTCTGAACCCACTAAAAACAACTCAGGAGACACCAAAATCACTTGTCTGTTACGGTTACAAGGCAGTGACACAAGAAACATGACAAATACTACAGTAACCTGGGCTCCCTTGGGGAGCCCAGCAAGAGCACCTGAGATGCTGGAAGAACACAGTGCTAATGTCCTGAGGACTTCAAGGAGACCCAGCTGTTTCCCAAGTCCACAGGCTGCACTAAAGCAGGGCTTCCCCACCTCTGAACTACAGTGTGGGTATTATTCTTTGTTGTGAGCACTGCTCTGTGGGCTATAGGATTCTTACAAGCATCCTTGGCATCTGCCCACCAGATGCCAATGGCACATCACCACCTTCCTCCCCACCAGGTATGACAATCAAAAATGTCTCCAGAGGCTGGCAATTTAGCTGAGTGGTTCCAGTACCTGCCCTGCAAGCACAAGGTCCCAAGTTCGATCCTGGTACAAAAAAGTCTCCAGACATTGCCAAATATCCCCTGGGAGGCAAAAGCATCCCTGCTTGAGGGCCACAGTGTTTTAAGGATATAGGTAAAGCCTTGCATTTGAATTCATAAAAATCACCCAGTTGGTTAGACAATATTAACAGGTACCACCTTGCCAACAGCAAGCATGCCTATAGCAAGATGCTGTGTCAGACTACTCAAACTGTAATCAGACCAAAATGAAGAGAAAAATGGAGATTGTCAACTTTTTTTTTATAGTACCATAATTTCATTATCTATAACCTTGAGTACGCAATAAATACTAATACATTAAAAAGTGTAGGGGCTGGGGATTTAGCTCAGTGGTTCTGCCGCCTGCCTCGAAAGCTCAAGGTCCGGAGTTCAATCCCTGGTACCAAAAAAAAAAAAAAAATCTGCTGACACTACCCAACCGATCACACAGGAAATAGCATCCTCTGCACTGATAAAGACCAACATCACCATATTCAAAGAGGGCTGAACCAGTCCATCTCAAGGCACCCAAGTGAACAATGTGTGAACCGAAGGGGGTTAGCTTCAAGAACTCCACACAAGAATACCATGATCATTCTAACACTAACTAAAGAACAAGCTCAGAAGTAGGACGCTAACACGTTAGAGCTGCCTCTGACCCTGCCTCTACTCTTGGATTCTACACTCCTGCCAGCCTACATAACTCGTGCAAAAGTAATGCGTTCCTGGGCCACTGCGATTACTACTCAACCTTCAGTGTTCTCTTACCTATGCCTATGGACCTTCATGACCCAATCCGAGCACAACCTCCTCTGAGAGGTTTCAGGCAGTGTCTCGAATGACCATTTGCTGAATAGAATGGGAAGGCCCTCAGGTGGGGATTTAGCTCAGTGGTTCAGGTGCCTGCCTCACAAGCACAAGATCCCCTGTACCAAAGGAAAAAAGGAAGGCCCTCCTGACCACTTCAGACTGGAGTCTCAGCCACGACCATTCTTAATGGTACTACTAGTTAGTCACAGCTATTAAGGCAATTTCAAACTGTACTTTTTAATAACATCTGTTCCCAAAGTGCAGCCCAGAGGATTAGGGAGGTAGGAAGGTCTTCTGAGACCCCTTCAGGATACCCATGAGTTTAAAACCAAGATGTTATTTACTTTCTTCTTTCTTATTCTCTCACAAACATACCATGGAAGTTTTTAGAGGCTACCTGATATGTGATGTTGCACTCCTAGAGTGGGCGTGGACAGCTAATGGAACTGTGTTTGCAGGCTCCCGTGTTTAAAAAATGTGGTTTACAGTGGGCATGGTGGCGCATGTCTGTCATCCCAGCACTCCAGTAGGCTGAGGCAGGAGGAATACAAGCTCAAGCCTAGCCTGGGTAACTTAACAACTTTGAGTCTCTGTCTCAAAACATTTAAAAAGAGCTTAGGATGTAGCTCATTAAAAAGGCTTGAGTTAAATTTCCAGTACCATAAAAAAAGTAACTAATAAAAAATAAAAATGTGTTTTACTTTCTAATATAGTAAATATCAAACAAAAAAGTCTAGGGTTCTTCAGTAATTTTTAAGAATATAAAAGGGTCCTATGACCAAAATATTTAGGACCCACTGTACGTTTCTCCCTTAGTGGACTATGAACTTCTTACATATCCTAGCCGACCTATTCCAAGCACCCTGCATAACAATATGTGATGAACTAACTGGAGAAGTATGCCCTCCCCGATGGAGAGGACAGCAGAGGTAGCACCCCCATAACCATACAAAAGCCCCCTCAAGACTCTACAATTCCCTGGACCCTGATGCTTGCTTTGAGCAACATTCTGCTGAGCACTTGTTTCCTGGCCCCGACAGGGAGAATCTAAATTAGATAAATAGGCTGCTGAGTATGTCACACAAGCAATCCAATCATTTGCAAGAAAGGATCCCACCTCAATCCCACTGTACTCAACTGGTATTACAGTTTATACAGCAGTGTCTTGTGGTTGCTTATACATGGGCTAGCTGGCTGCTCTCTATACCTTCATGATTCGTTCAGCAAAAAGGTACTGCATGCCTTCTATGTACCAGGCACTGTGCTGGGTGGTGAATAAATGTAATCAAGCTCTAATTGAAACTTAAACAAAAATACCAAGGCAGGCAGATGCGGCAAACTCTGAATGGAGAGAAATTTGCCTAAAGCACTGAAAGAAAGTTGAGAAAGGTAAATTAGGGTCAATTTATTACAGTCTTGTGCTGCAATGTAATGGAAAATTGAGAAAACAGTTCTTCCTCAATGTATATACCTATCGAGATTCTGTATGGTTTTTAGCCTCATCTTATTCTTCCCTCTACCTAACCTGAACTCCATCCCACCCCCAACGAAGGGAGGAAAAAGCTGCGCCACACCTGGCAACCAGACTGCTTTTTGCCTGCCCTGCAAAGGGAATGCTGTTTTCTTCTCCCTTTCCTGTATCCTTTTCCTTCTTCCACGCATGCGTCTAGATCCATATCTCCTTTCCTAAAGTTACTTTTCCTTCCCCTCCAACCTCCATTCATTTATCCAGTGTTCACTAAAAAAGTGGAACTTGGATTCCAGTCCAAGCCTCGCGCAAGCGTGGGTAAGCACTTTTGCTAACAGAGAAATTAAAGCCTGAGGAAGTAAAAATAAGAGAGAATGCCTTCAGCTCGGTAATCTGCAGAACCTCACAAACCTAATTTACCAAGTGTAGAAGGGAGGCATAGCCAAGAGCAAAGATCAAGGGGATCCTCAGCCTCTATCTATCTGTCTTATCTTCATTATGATAAGACATTAAGACTGCTCCACCGCACTTCTTCAAGTTTCGGCTTAAATATCACCTCAGGCGCTCTGCTCCAGTGTTCTCAGAACCCACTTCTATTTCCCTCGCGGCGACTGCCCCCATTGGGAGGCCTGGGGTCACTGCCTCGGGGCGAGGGGCGCCTCGCTGCCGCCCGACCCCGCATCAGCGCAGCGGATGGCTCGCGGGAGGCGCTCGGGCTGCCTCAAGGAAGGGACGGACGGAACGGGCTACTGAGGCCAAGCCATGCCCGGCGCGTCCCCCGGCGCCGCCCCCCGCGCTCCCGGCCCGCCTCACCCGTCCCCCGGCACCTCCCGCAGCTTCAGCCCCAGGGCCTGCAGCTGGTTGGCGAAGCTGATGAACTCCTCCTCGCAGCCGCCGGACTCCGGCCGGTTCCGCCGCTCTTTGGCCAGGGCCCGGCGCGCCGCCCGCTCGTCCCGCTTGCGCTCGGCCTCGGCTTTCCGGCTGCCGCTACCCGGCCGGCTCCTCGCTACCTGCTTTCGGGACATAGTCTTGGCCCGCTCCTCCCAGCGGCAGGAGAAAAAGCCGCGGGACCGCGGGTCGGCGGCCTCCGGTACCCACGAGGCGAAACGGCGGTGACGGCGGAGCCCAGCAACGGAGCCTAGCGACGGAGCTTAGCGACAGCAGTGATACCACTGCGCCTGCGTGCGCACGGGGTATCGCGTCACGTGACGGAGTCCCCCGCCCCCGGACTCCGCGGGCAAGAGCCATAGAGAGAGCGTCTGGGAGGGCTAGAGAGACACCTGTTTTGGTTTGTTCTCCTCTTCCCCCTAGTGGTGGAAGTGACTCAGTGAGGAGAAGGTGGGACCAGTGAGAACAAAACTGGAAAAGGTCAAGGACAAACATGGAGGATGTTACCAGTAGTAAAAGGGTAAGAGAGGAGAGTAGCAGCAAGAGTTAGAGAAAGAAGAAAACAAAAAAAGAAGTGAAGGGCCGGGGATTTAGCTCGGTGGTTCTGCCTCCTGCCTCGAAAGCACAAGGACCCGAGTTCAATCCCCGGTACCAAAAGAAAAGACAAGTGAGCCCGGCGTTGGGATAGGCCCTTACACATGATTCGCTCTTGTTGAATTATCCCCAATTACAGGAAACTGAACTTGAGAAGTTCAGTAATTGCAGGATCACAGAGCTAAGTAAAAGGTAAGACTTTGGCCCCAGCTCCAAAACCCAGACACTTCTTTATTTAATCCTGTTTTTCTCCATCTCTCCACTTTCCCTTACAATTCTAGAAAAAGGCAGCTCTTCTGCCCAACACTAATGGTTCCTCCAGTGATCTGGATTCCATTCTAGGTTGATCAACCTAGGTTTGCCTGGACTAAGAGTTTTCCTGGGATACGGGACTTTTGGTTCTAAAGTTGAGACAGCCCTGGGAAAACCAAAATAAATGGTCACCCTAAACCACACCCACCTGTTCTGGGACCTAACTCTCAGTACTCCTCTCTTCTCCCTCATCCTCACCCCTTTTTCTTAGCCCTCCTCTTCCTACAATAATGCCACTGTCTTCTCCTTTGGATATTCTAACCAAACTCTTTTACTATCCCCAGGAATAATCCTAATGTTTCTCCCTTTAACAATCCTATTTTCTCATTGTCTTAGTTACTTTTCTTGTGGCTGAGACAAAATACTCGACACCTAAAGTGAGAGGAAGAAAGGTTTTTTGCTCACAGTTTGTAGAGATTTCAGTTCATAGTCAGCTGGCTCCAAAGCATAGCAGAGGACCATGGAAGAGGAGAAATAGTCCATGGCATGGCAGGCAGGAAGCAGCAAACAGCTAGCCTTCCTTTCCTTTTTATCCTATCCAGGCTACAATTCCTTTGGTTGGCACTACCCACACTGAGATGGACCTTCCAATTATCCACACCCAGAATTATGCTAAACCAATCAGTGGAGTAATTTAGTTATCACATACCTTTAATCCAAATTCACATGCCCTAGATCCAGCCACCTCTGACAAGCCCCACCTATGAGCACATGAGGCTTTGGGGGGACATCTAGATACCATAATACTCATCTACCAACATGTTTCCCTTTGGCAGTAGCTTCTTTCATTTTAACTAGCATCTCTGTTTTTACTCATCAATATGTTAATTCTAATTTCTCTGCTTGGTGCCAGATATAGCATGGAATTAGAGACAGAAAATTGCCTTCAGGGAGCAAAGACAACAATTACAATACCGGATAATAATAGCTATCAAGAAGGAAAGGTGGGCCCAGGAGCTGTGACACATGCCTACAATCCCAGCACTCTATGAAGCTGAGCCAGAAGGACCACATGTTCAACCTGAGCCTGGGCAACTTAGTGATTCAGTGAGCCCCTCTCTCAAGATAAAAATTAAAAAGGCCTGAGGATGTAGCTCAGTGCAAAGGCCCTGGGTTTGGTCCCCAGTACTGCAAAAAGAAATAAGAGGAAGAAAGGGGAGGGAGGTTAGAGAGTGTCAAGGAGGGTAAAAAAAAATTGAAGAGTGGAGTGAAAAATGCAAAAAAGCTTCCCAGAAAAACTAAATCCTAAGATGAAGCTTAAAGGGTGAGTGGAATTTGGCTGACCTAAGAAAGCTCCAAGTGTGTCTCCAAGACTGGAGACAGGCTTTGAGGAACAGAAAGAACTTCGGGCTTGGGCCATGAGGCAGGAACCAGAGGGAAGGCCCATGCTGTGGTTTCAATGTTGTTTGTGCCCTAAAGGTTCATGTACTGGAAGCCTGGTCTCCAGCGTGGCAGTGTTAAAGTGGTGGAATCCTTTGGAGGTGAGGCCTAGTGAAAGATAATAAGGTCACAAAAGCTCCACCCTCATGAATGGATTCATGATGTCTTTCTAGAGCATGTTGTTGTAAAGAGAAGCTTCCCGTGCCTTGGTCTCTTCTGCACAAGGCCAGTTCCCTTTCTACTTCTCCACCACGTTGTGACACAGCCAGGGGGCCGTTTCCAAGGCGCTGGCACCCATTATCACCTACCAGCCACTAGGACTGTAGACCAATAAACCCATTTATTTACAAAGTACCTGTCCTTGGATACAGCAACACAAAACAAACTAAAATAACCCAGACCTGGCAGGAACTTGCAGGCCAAATGGAGGGGTTTATCTCAAGTCCCTAGAGTCCTGTGAGCCATTGCAAGATTTTAATCAGGCGAATGACGTATCCCGCCTACATGTACAAATATGACTGTGGCTATAGCAGAGAAAAGGGGAGATCCCAGGTAGGTATGTAGCTATCTTGCCCTTGCCTTTAACCCCCCTTGAATTAGCGTCCCATTATATAGTTCAGGCTGGCTTTGAACTCACTATGTAGCCCAGACTATAGGCTGGCCTTGAATTCATGGCAATCCTCCTGCCTCAGCCTCCCCAGTCCTAGGATTACAGGCATACATCACCATGCCTGGCTAAGCTCACCCTTTCCTATGGGTGCATCCCAGTGACCCCTCTGCTTGCATTTAGTTGGACAGGGTGACAGAGACCTAGGTTCTGATCCAGGTCTGTCCAAATCTTGAGTTAGTTGCTTAACTTCCCTAGCTTCCTTTTCCTCATTGTTAGCACAGTAATAGGAATAGAGAGCTCCAGATGCTATTGTATGTGCTTGTATGATGTGCTTGTATACTGTTTACTATGTGCCAGGCACTATCCCAATTTCGTTACAAATACTATCCTATTAGCTTGGTATGGTGGTGCACGCCTGTAGTCTCAGAACTTGGAAGGCTGAGGCAGAAGGATCACCGCAAGTTCAAGGCCAGCCTAGGCTACCAAGTGAGTTAAAGGCCAACCTGAATTACATAGTGAGACCCTGTCAAAACAACAACAACAAAAAAACCCACCTAAACTATCCTATTAAATCATTACAGCAACCCAATGAAAAATATTTTTATCTCCACTATATAGCTGAGAAAACTGCAGCACAGAAAAGTGAAGCAACTTTCCTAAAGTCACACAGCTTATAAGTGACAAAGCTAACATTTGCAGCCAGGCCATCTGGCTCCAGGGGGTGCTCCTAATCATTATATCATGCTAACACCACATAGCTTTTCATAAACTGCAAAGCACTCTACACAAAACATGAATTTATTTCATTAGTAGCTTTCTTCACTTCCCATATTTGTTGCTGATATGGTCTTTCTACCATTTCTGTTGTCTCATGTCACTGTTGTCTGATTTTCTACTTAACTTCTTCTGCATTAAAATGGGTCAAAAGAATCCTTTTAAAAAGTCCTAAAAACCTGGGTGTGCATGATAGTTTCACCTTAGACCAGTTATTTAACTTTCAACCCTTGGTTTTCTGTTCTGTAAGTGACAATTACAAAAGGGTAGAAGGGAGAGTTGTAAAAACTGAATAAAATTGTAATCCCTGGGCAGGCAGTAAGTATCAAGTTAATAAAAGTGTTTTAATCATTCTTTTTATTGTGAAAAACTCATGGGCTCAGGAGCAAAGATCGACATTCCAAACTTCAAAAACCAGAGAAGAAGGGACCGAGATCACAAAATATGTGGAAATACAGAACCCAAACATACTGACAGAGATGTGAACACTTGCCCTTCTTGTAAAAATCTTTTTTTGCATGAGTCTGTAGCCTTCCAGCCCATGCATAGAATTTTGAATGAGCTAGTTTCTCTTGAAGAGGCCTGTGTTAGACAGTAACTCTCTGTAAGTGCAAATCAATATACTGCTTATAAATTAGATCTCAAGGCCAGGGGGAAAGTGTACTTGTGAATACAATGAATACCTTACCAGCTTCACCAGAGTTAATTAAAATAATTGTTAAACCTCACTAGGCGGCATTTAGTACAAATTAATAAAAAGTGTGACTGATCGAATTTTAGCTAAGAACTATAGCTTTAGGACTTTCAAGGACAAACCATGTGTGGGGAAATGAATTCTTGTACACACATGTCAGGAGCTAAGTGAGTCTACTCACTTTTGAAGGCAATTTGGGCTGGATCTGGTAATATTAATAAATCCCCAGTGCCTACATCTTATTATCTATTCTAAAAATAGAAATACAGTCCTCCCCCCTTATCATGGGGAATATCTTCCCAACACTCTTCTGTGGACATCTGAAACTATGGATAGTACCAAACCCTATACATATTATGTTTTTTCCATACATATATATGATGAAGTTTAATTTATAAATTAGACACAGTAAGAGATTACTAACTACTAATAATAAAATAGAACAATTATAACAATAAAGTATAATAAAGTTTCCAGCACCACTACTCTTGTGCTTTGGGACCATCATTAAACAAAATAAGAGTTACTTAAACACAAGCACTATTCACCTCAGCCAGTCAATCTGATAACCAAGACAGCTCCTAATGGGCAGGTAACATATACCGTGTGGATACACTAGACAAAGGAACAATTTTCATCCCAGGTAGAAGAGATCAAGCCACGTGAGATTTCATAATGCTACTGAGAATAGCATGCGATTTAAAACTATTGAAAGATTTCCTTCAGAAATTTTCTGTAATATTTTCTTAATACAGGTAACTGAAAGCATGGAATGCAAATGTGGATAAAGAAGGACAACTTTACCACAGCCCATTATCTATCTTAAAGCAAATCACATGCATATATTTTAGGAGGTGTGCCCAAGGAGGTTTAAGGTATAATAATGTGTGTGTACGTTACTTTTCTCTCATTGCTGAGACAAAATATCAAAATTG